CAGTTGTCAGTTGGACACAGGTCTTTGCATTCCAAATAATACAAATTATGCACCCATATACCACTGCTCAAATGCTTGTGCTACTAAATGTGTGTCTTGTAGATTGTATTATTAATTGTAGTCAACAGCAATGATGCTTTCTTTACTCTTTTCATGAATGTGTAGTGAGACATTTAATGAGCCCTTAAGAAAACTTGCTGTGGTTTGTGGCCACTGCAGAGTCTCCTGTGTCTGTGCTGCCAATCAACAGTAATGAAGTCTGGGCTCAAGAGCACTGCTCCCACAGCCAGTGCATCTGCACCACACCACAGCCTTTATTCTATAGAAATAGAGCTGCGGATGATTTACTAACAGTCATCAGTGTGATTTCAGATGCAGCTTTATTTACATTTATGCCTACGCAAACTCAAATCAGTTTTAACTTTTTGTATAGACTACAAAATATTCAATATGGTGTGTTTTAATTGGTTTTTAATTCAGATTCTTAATTAGTTACATTGGAAATGCCAGTATTACACAGTATACACTTCTGTAAGTACACAGCTTCCAAATACCAATAATGCAAATATGACACTTTGTAAATATATATATATATATATATATTTTTTTAATGGGGGTTTATAATGTGATGAGTTTTTAAAAAGGTTAAGGATTTTAATAGAATCCCTCGCATGTCAGGGTGTGAGTAACAGTGGGCAGAAAGTCTAAACTCCAGGAGGCAGCTTATCCAGTCACAGTGAGCTGATCTTATTGTCCAGGATAAGAGGATGAGCAATATAGCCCCCAGGAGAATTAGACTAACCATCTATAGCTCATAGAAATCAATGGAGGGTTAGAGGATGTGTTTTTTACAGTGATTGACTGACTGGAGACGTGTTCAGTGTTTGAGGAGCCTTATGACCCTCAACGGAGCACTGATGGTCATTTAGGAGACGACATGGACAAAATGATGAACAGGCTGGAGGCTCTTAAGGTGCTGCTGTGCTTCTGACATGTGCACAGATCACCAGCCTAGCATTTGTCAAAACTATAGTATCGCACAGACACTGAAGACCACGTTTGTCCATCTTACCATAAACTTATGAATTCAGGCTTAGTCTATTGGGATTTTTGATACCAGCTCATCTCATAAATGCACTGACTCACTGAGATCGGGTGAGCCTCTGTTATTGAAAATGAACTGTACCAAGCTTACCAGACTTAGAGACCCTTATGCCAGGCTTACAGTGTTGACAACCTTTTGGAACAATCCCCAGGTTAAATGCCTCTATAAGATAAGATGATTGTTCTTTGACCAATAAGAGACAATGACTGAGCTGCCCTTTGAGATGAGATCTACCTGTGTGCAGAGAGAAGACAAACAATTAGGGTACATAAGTCTCAACCAGATCTAACCCAAGCAACAGGCAAAGTTGTGGCTGTTATAGGCTGTTAGAATAGTTGAAAAATATAGTAGCCCAGTAGAATTTTAAAACGAACTACCTCTACCTATATCATCACTCTTAATTCAATCCAAACTGCAGGGGCAATTGGGGGGCAATGACTTAAACCTTTACTTAACAAAATAAGACTATATTTTTAGTCTCATTGTGCAGTTTAGTCCCTTGTTAATATCATGGTTGCTAGGTAACAGGTATGGATTTACCTAATGCTCAACCAGGAAGTAAAAATAAAAACAGCACCAAAATTGCAAGGTTTGTAGTAACATGCATGCACGCAACTTTTCTGGTAGAGGGTCCTTCAAATTCTTTTCTCTGTGGTGTAGTTATGCTTTGTCTGTAATGTTTCACAGTACGGGATTCCTCTGTGTTCATGGAGACCAAACCAGACCCAGTTTCAGGCAGATCCAGACCCAGTTTCAGGCAGATCTGTGGAAAGGCAACCCTTCTCACAGTCAGAGTGCCTGGGGGGGGGGGGCTTATATTCAGTTGCAGCCTATATATGTACATTTTAAAAATTTTGTTAAAATTTAGTTGATGCAGCTTATATTCAGGTGCACTCAATAGTCCAGAAAATAAGGCACTTGTAATAAAAACAATATAAGGAAGAGTTGTTTAATATCATACTGTGGAACATTCTAGACAGAGCAATGCCATATCCATAGAAACAAGCAGATGACAACCAAAAAGTTACATAGTGCACCTTTTAAATATTATGATGAAGACTATGATTTAGTGAAATTATTAGTCTAACCTGTCATAAGCACTTTAAGACTGAACCATGGAATCATAGAGACTCTATTTGGCAAGAGCTGTGTGAAAATCCTAATGTATGTTGAGCAAATACAATGCAGAAAACATTTAATGCAAACCTCCCCCTAGGAGCTGGAGAAGCCTTTGGTGCTTGATTTGACCCTGTATGTCTCTGTTTTGCACTTTGATGAGCCGACTGAAACATTCACTGGGCATGTAATATTTCTTCTCAAATCGATTTACATACATTTTATAGGCCCCCTGCTGCTCTGTGATAAGCGGGGCATTTCGTAAGGAGAGCGCTGAGGGCCAAAATTTACAACTTTTTCTGTGTGTATTTTTAGCAAGCTGTGTGAGCGTTTTAATTATTTACACATGCCATTTAAAATTCACTACTGGTAAAAAATTAAAGCCACACCGATCCCATATGATCTTACTTTCTGGATATGCTCCATGATCTGATTTGGTTCTGCTATAAGCATAATATTCACAGCTCTCAGCAAATAGTCTGATTTTCCTGCCAATGTTTTACTACTGATTGTCTTTTTCCAGTGGCACCGTGCAAAGCTGCGATCCCGCCTCGTGATTGGCTGCCACGTGGAGCCACATCTGTTCTATGCAGGGAACTCGAATCATTTCATTTCACACACAGTTTCAGTGAAATATGAGGGAAAAGTACAGCTCTGAGAAAGCTTTAAAAATGGACAGGCAAAGTGGTGAGAGGTGGCGCGGGTTAGAGAAGGAGGGAGTATTGGTGGGGTGGATGAGGATGCGTGGAGGAAAACTAGAGGTTACGGAACAGGCAACCAAAAGCATAACATGGTTTATTTTTTAAAGCATTTGGAAGCAAGAGACCAAGCAAAAGGCAATTTAGAACTAGAAATGTAATATTTATTTCACTTTTTCCAATTCTTTCCCTGCCCACTTCCTCTGCTGCTCCTTGAGTCCACAGCAAAGACAGAGTAATCTACACTGACAGGGGACAGGCGGTGAGGTGGAGCACGTGATGGATCCAGGGGGAAATCGCCAGTGTACTTAAACTAGTTATTCTGCGTTTCATCGGCCTCTCGACATGGTTTGGTTTTATGATGTCTTTCATTATCTGTCTGTCATGTGTCCGTGTTTATGGCTCTATAAACACGCCCAGACCGCTCAGATGCGTGGACCTGACCGGGCGGAAAACAGCCAGTCCACCGTGCTCCGCTCCAAGGTTAGCATTGTAGTCTTTGAGATGGATAGCTCTTTGTTGTGACTATTTGTGACAGGAATGAGCAAATATGTTTGTAATGCCCAGGATTTATGATGGTTATTTTTCATTTCACCCACCTTTGGCATTTAATTTGCCATTGATCATTTTGTGTGCCTTTAAATTCCAAGTGGTTGTTATGACTACACAAATTGCATTAGGCTTTAAAAGCTCACATGCTTATCAAAAACTGGAATTTTAAATTTAATTAAATTGCAGTTGATTGGCCATAATAAGTTTATTTCAAAAGCTGCATCATTTAGATAAATAAAATGAGTAAACAGTAAAAAAGTACTGTCTCCATGACATCTTTTTTTATGAATGAAGCCGGCTAATCCTTTTGTTTAGACCTCTACAAATATGTTCTACATGTGACGCTTTTATTATAGTTGTAATGCTCTCAAACTTGTATTCTCTCTGCACTTTGTATTGCTTTAGAAAGTAATGAATAAATAAATAATAATAGTATTAGTAATAATAATAATAATAATAATAAATCCAATCCACTTTATTTATATAGCACATGACACACATGAAAGTTTCCAAAGTGATGCACAGACAAATGAATGCAATAAAAGACAGTAAAACATAAAGAAAAGAATAAAGCTAAAAATGATTAAACAATTATAATACAATAATAAATAATAAAATAAAAAAATTGATAATTTTATAAACACAATACTTGTCCGTGAAATGTCAAAATTTCCTATTTCTTTGTTGACTCTTGAGTAATTAAGGATAAAAATTAAAAAAATCTGCACCACAAATTTGATTTCAAGCTTTTTAGTATGCATACCATATTTTATTGATTTAATTGACTATTTTCCATATATGGGATTAGTTCTGCACGCGCACACACGCAAAATTCAAATCATCAACATAGCACAACAATATTAGGAAACCCACTTGAGATAGACCAGGGACTAAAGCTTGTAGACTGCACCACTGGAATACATTGTACATCTGATCTATCCCTTCGGCTTTTGTGCCTTAAATGCCTACTCACTTACAGTTTTAATTACACGCCTTCCCATTTACAGGTTGTGTTTACATCACGGGAGAAGATTCTAATGGCCTATTTCAATTCATTTCAATAGGCCCTTAATATCATCCCCTTGGTATAGACAGGCATTAGACAGAGGCAAGGCACTCATTAGACCTCCTCTGGGAAGCTAACACTATGATGATGTGCTTTCTGCTACAGGCTCCTAATTTATTAATCACAATATTCTAACGACCCGTAGCTGACGCGGGCTAAATGACCTCATTACACGCACACGGGGTTAGCGCTAGATGAACTGAAGGTAGTCAGCGGGATGCGGTCCACTATTAATGTGCACTGACCTTTCAGACTTCAGCAGATGGAACTCCTGTTGGCACCAGATTTCTGTTCATTTGGGATATTGTTAGATTTCCCTGGAGGACCGCACGGCGATTAGAACCAAAACGCATTTCGGTTTGAGTAGAGACACTTGCGGTCCACTATTAATGTGCACTGACCTTTCAGACTTCAGCAGATGGAACTCCTGTTGGCACCAGATTTCTGTTCATTTGGGATATTGTTAGATTTCCCTGGAGGACCGCACGGCGATTAGAACCAAAACGCATTTCGGTTTGAGTAGAGACACTTGGACCTCTGCACTGAAAGAGCTCTCTGTGGCACAGCTGGACAGTAATTGAAGAACAAATAATTAAAATCATTGCTAAATCAGATCACCAAGGCCACCACACACACAACATTAAGGTGCACAGGTGAAAAAACAGTAATTACCTTCTAGCTTGGATTATTCTCATACAAAGACGTCGCATTCTTTGCATTTACTTGTAGAATCGCGAGAATCCACTTTCCCACAAACTACCCTTGTACCATGGAGACACATATTGCTTTTCCTTGTTGCTTACAGTGTGCAATAATGCAATATTGACCTGCAGACCAATCTAGCTAATTCAATTCAGCGCTCATTTGGGGACTCTTGTTAGAAGAAAGGACATTGGAAAGAGTGGAGTGGAGAATTAGTAGTTGATGACATTGCTGTTGATGTGGAAAAAAAGTCTGGTTAGAAAACTTGATTTTCTTTTGGTACATACACAACCGTGTAATCATTTGTCCAAATGGTGTGAGTGGCAAGGAAGTAGGAGTAATGCAAAAAACTGTCAGAACACCACAATTCAGGTGCCGAAGTACACATGTTCAATGTTGTAGGTTTACATCTAGTTTTGTGTACAGCCATTTACGGTAATAAAGAAACTAGATAATAGCCATTATGTGGAGATTCTTTGTAATAGTTGGCTACAGTTGTACAGAATACCATTGGCATTCTTTATGGCAGAAAATTTGTGTTCAAGGTTGTTTACTAACCTCTAAGTATGTGAAAGGTGTGAGGAAGCAGAGTAAACATAGTACACAATGAAATCAAATGATTGTGGCCATTGGAACAATAACGACAAAAAAGAAAAAAATGTGGCTAATGATGTCATCATATTATAAAATAAGCAATGTTATTTAGATTACATACACATCTCTTCTTGCAGACCTAATACACAGTCTAAATTCAATGCTAGCATGTTCATAAAATGTGTTACATTAAATTTGTTTTCAAGAGAAGTCTTTGTCTGCTTATCTAAATATGGGATTTCTTTTTCTATTCAAGTAGAACATTTAACCCTGACACTAAAAATTGTAGAAAACTAGCTAAATTTAGTAGGACATATATAACTGACCTAATAAGAATAAAAAAGACATTAACCGTCGATAAAGCAGTAATCAGACATGGAACCTGATACAAGGTTCTGTAGATATTTCAGAAAGGCCAAAACACTAGAGTCTCTTATGTCACTGCTTTTCCATAACAAGCATACCTTGAACTTGAATATGCTTCACAGATGCAGATAGACTAGGTTTTGTTGAATAGAATTTAAGGTGGTTCAATTGATTTGAGTGTTGAAATTCTTTGGTCTTATTAGGATGCATTGTATTCTTTTTGACCCCCACCTCAACCTTACCTTAAGATCTAACTTTTTTTTTCTCTCAAGTAACCCAAGCAACAGTCAATCTTACATCAACTTGCTTAAAGAACCATCTAGAGGGCTTATACCTTGTCAATATCTTCACATCCAAACTCCCCCACCCCACTTGCTCGTCTGAGAGACTTACCAGTTCACTGTGTCGAAATACATTGGGCTCTTTGATGCATCATTGTTGTCAGCGCTAACCAAATCACTGCTGCGCATGAAAAGCCATCCCCCACGGGTCTCCAAAACTTGACAGCCTCTACCTTTTCTCACACTCGTATTTCTCCACAGAGGTGCAAACACAGATGCATGTTTAACACTGTTTTTGTGCTCCTAACCACGCTTTCATTTTCCACTTCCTTAACAAAGGAAATTTCATTCTTGAGCACTGAGCCCTTTACTTGCAACAAGTATTGGATTGAAATGTGTCTTAGAGGTGAAAATTGTCTTACGTTCTTTTTTTTTTCTCCATTCTGACAATTTGAAATGCCCCAAAAGCTTCTTAAAAACAATACAACCATTTTCCCGACCCATCTCTCCACATCAGACTTGCTACGATACTTGGGCGCCATTTTTGCTTTTACTCCACAGAAGAAAACTGATCCCAGGGGGTCCTCTAACCCTATTTCCCCTCATTGTTGTTTTACTCTTGTCTACGCTTTTAACCCCTGGAGCTTAGGAAAAGATGAAGTGACACTAGCCTGAGTAAGTTGAATCGTATGGTAATGGCACTGAGAAAAAAGCAGCTAACGAGACACAGAGGAAGCAGGATAGCCTCTCCGACTGCGTGGCCGGGCATTTATCATCTTAAATACATGCTCAAGCAACAGGGGCATCGGGGGTGGAAGGGACAGAGCGTAGTGCCCTCTGTTGAGAGCCACACAGTACTGCGTGGAAGATGGAGATTAGGCTACAAGCTTTTCTACACACAGCCAGCGTTGTGTGAGGATGGATTTAAAATGTAAGGCTTAAGTCAACATCTTAAATTGTGTACACTGAGATGCTATTTGGTTGTAGATCTATGTAATTGAAACACGTACAGGAAATGGTCTGTTGCAAAGAGATGATGATGAACACTGCTATGGGATATTTAGCATTATGATTAAAAGAATGTGAAAAGTAAGATCTTTTTGTGTGGTGAATTTATTACCATATGGATGAACAGTTTTGGAAATGTTTGTTATTATTGCAATTAGCCCCAGCATGCAGTTCTTTGTGTGTGTTTTTGTATCATGTACGCAGCTGTTGTTGCCAAGACAAATGACAACTGTACCCATGAAGGGAAAAGAAAGTTTTCCTTCATGTATATTTAATATTTGTAAAAAGACTTCATTGAGGATTTGCTTAACATTTAGAGGAGGTTATACTACATAACTAACCAACCGCCTATTGTGATTTGTTGATTGCGATCATTCAAAATGAAACTTTCAATTAGAATCCTTAAATTTGATTAGTGGTCTCAAACAATTTGTGGTTTATTTTTTATTTTTTTAAGGGCCAATCTCATGCAAAATCAAGTTTTCAGAGCTTCCTACCTTCTAAGAATGATGTGTGGACCTTGTATATGTCCCTTAACTGGTTTTTATATTGATTCTACGTTTTTTTTTTTTTACAAATTGCAGCGTATTTTTGCCACCCTCCCACGTGACAAGAAACTACAGCCTGCTCCAATGATGAGGCAGCCAGCTACACCTATGACACGTTTGACGTAGCAGAAAGCACTTCGCACCGCCCCCCACCCGCTCCCCTCTGTGTATTGTTCTACACTGCAGTGTACACGATATAATTAGTTTTCTACTAGCGTTTATCAATACTTTACCAATCAGTAATGTTTAGTCGATGCTGACGCGATGCTTCCGCTTCGTGCACCTCCAAGTCCTCGTCCAATTCCGGGTCCAACACATAAGGCTGAACGCGCTGTATCGCCATGATGAATTAAAGTTTATTCCTACTGCTATCAGACCGCTAAATGGGTTGTGTGGCTGCAAGGCTGCTGTACACTTATGCCTGTCTCCCCTCCCTCCCTGAGATGGGGCCTACATCACGTTTGCAGGGTGGAGCCTGTGCTTTCTCAGGACCGGTGAGGGGATGAGCAATAGCCGGCCTTTCATAGTACCTGGTCTGTGACTTCATCCAAGAAATCAGTAAAATTTCGTAACTGTTGTGTAATGGATGTTCCAAAACCCAAATTGTGCTTGTATATGTGCATAAGATACAATGTGAAAAAAGTTATTTTGCATGAGATGGGCCCTATAAATATTGTGATACCGTATTGTCAAGTCTCATAATATCTTCGTGGCCTGAATCATAAGCTCCTTTGTTTTTTAGATGCTGTAACAAGATAAACCTCTTAACCAAAGGAAACTACATAGACCATGATCCTTTGCTCCATTTCAGTGCAGACAGCATGAACAACAAACTGTTAATAAGCACATTGTTCTTTGGATTATGACAGTAATGATACCCACACAAGTCTTTTGAAGGGATTTTCAAACAAGAAAGCAGCCTTTCTGCAATTGTGTTAAAGTCTCTAAAATACTACGATAAATAGAGTACTGTGAGATGTTCATTGTGATAATATAGTTTCATAAGTTTTGGATATTGTTACGTCCTGATTACCAAGCGTTTGCAAGTATATGTTAAAAATTAAATTAGAACTTTTAACAGTAAATTAAAAGTAAAAGTGCAAATTGAACCACTTTACACTTTTTATTTACCCTTGCGTTCCCTTCATATTTGTCATTCTGCAGTCTTCTTCTTAAGCTGTAACATCTACTTTGTCGCAACCCAAGAAAACCTTAATAAAAGCAAATAAAAGCAAATGGCTATTAAAACGTGGAGAGAATGAAGAGACAGCATAAGCCCTGGCTGTGATAAAGACGCTGCAGAGGGAGACAGATTGTATTTATGGAGAACTAGAGCTGCATTGTCGTATTCAGCACTAAAGCCTTGTTTGTTTGCGGCTCCATTCTCAATCCAGACTGTGTGTAGCAGATAATTGATTTGGCTGTAATTGTACACCATAAGCGTAAAGCACGTAATCACTGCAGTCACTTCCTCTGGGGCCGCACAGTATAGACCGCCTCCCACGAGTCCAAGGAAGTAATGGAAATAAAAGATGAATGATGCGTGGGTAGAGTAGCCAAGTGTTACTTCAGAATGATATTGCTCTAGTAAAAGTACAAAGTAGTGGTGCAAGAAATTATTCAAGTACAAGTAAAGTATTTGGGAAATCTGCTACGTATGTAAGAGTAACTTAAAGGTGCATTTTGTAACTTTTCTGGTGGAGGGTCTGTCAATTTTTTTACTCCATGGCGATGTTACTGCTTTGTCTGAGATGTTTCACAGTATGGCATTCAACCTTTCTATCATCATGGAGACTAAACCAAGCCAAGTTACATAGTCAGATCTGTGGAGAGGCAACTCCACTCAGTCAGAATGTTTGTTTTTCTAGTTATTTTTGAGCTATAAACCCACCTGTAATCGAGTGAATGTAAGCTAGAGCTGTTTATTGTCACACTATGGAACGTTCCAAGCAGAGCAATGACGTTTCCATAGAAACAAGAAGGTGACAGACCCCCTATCAAAAAGTTACACAGTGCACCTTTAAAGTGTGTTGGGACATAACAACTGATTTATAATTTGAAGGTAAT